TTCAACAATTGGTGCTGGAACAAAATTATGCATTTTGAGAAATATAAGTATTGACCCTTACTTCATAGTACACTCAAATAATTAACAAAATATATAATAGACAACATGTAAAAGTGAAAACTATAAAACTCCTAGAAGAAAATCCTATGAAAAAAATCTTCACAACTTTGGTATAAGCAAATATTTCTTAGATAGGGCATAAAAACCATAAACCATTACAGATTTACTTGGTAAGTTGGGCTTTTACAAAATTAATATTTCTGCTCATCAAAGAACACTATTAGGAAAATGAAGCCATTGAATAGAAGAAAATATCTGCAATACATACATCTGACAAAGGACTTGTATGCAGAATCTGTAAAGAATGAATACAACTGAAACATAAAGACAGAAACCAATAAAATATAGACAAAATATTTTTTTCCCTCACTCTAGGACATTTTGCATTTATCTTCAGACAGAGCAGGAGGGAGAGAGGGAGGAAGAGAGAGTGAGAAACACTGATGTGAGAGAGACACATCAAGTGGTTGCCACCCACGTGACCCCAACTGGACTGGGGACAAACTGCAACCGAGGTACATGCCCTTAGTGGGAACCGAACCTGGGACTCTCTGGTCCACAGGCTGACACTCTGATCATTGAGCCAAACTGACCAGGGCTAGGCAAAATATTTTGAAAACACTCTTTACACCCAGCCATTGTGGCTCAGTGGTTGAGTGTTAACCTATGCACCAAGAGATCTATGGTTCAATTCCCAGTCAGGGCACATGCCCAGGTTTTGGGTTCAGTCTCCAGTAAGGGGCATGCAGGAGACAGCTGATGGGTGTTTCTATCTCTCTTCCTCTTCCTTCCTCTCTCTCTAAAAATCAATTTTAGAAACATATTAAAAAGACGCTTCACAAAATGAATAACCAATAAACACATGGACAGTCTTCAAGATTATTGGTCGTTAGGAAAATGCAAATGAAAACAAGAATGAGATACCACTTCACTTCCACTAGGATGCCCTAAATGAAAAAGACAGAACAACTATGTATCACGAAGGATATGAACACCTAAAATTCTCATACACTGCCACAGAAGAGTATAAAGTGTTCCTGCTACTTTGGAAAACATTTGGGCAGTTTCTCATAAATTTAAACATATACTTACCATATTAGGCTACTGGATTTTATTTCAAGTATTTATCCAAAAGAAATTAAAACATATATCCACACAAAGACTTATACACAAATGTGTGTGTGTGTGTATGTGTGTGTGTCCAGAAACAACCTGAATATTCATCAGCAGGGGAATGGATAAACAAATTGTGGTTTATCTATATAATGGAACAAAACTGAGCAATAAAAAGGGAGAATCCACTAATACATTCAACAACGTGGGTGAATCTCAAAGCATTATTATAAATAAAAGAAGCCCAACACATTCCATTTACTATATGAAATTCTAGAAAATGCAAACTTTTCTATAGTAGCAGAAAGCGAATCACTGGTTGCCAAGGAGTGGGAAGAAGGGGAGACTAATTGAACAGGATATAAAACTTTGGGGGTGTGGGCCCTGGCCGGTTTGGCTCAGTGGTTAAAGCGTCGGCCTGCGGTCCTGAGAGACCCAGGTTCGGTTCCCGCTAAGGGCATGTACCTCGGTTGCAGTTTGTCCCCGGCTCTGGTCAGTCGCAGCCACTCGATGTGTTCCTTTCACATCGATCGATGTTTCTCTCTCTCTCTCTCTCTGGTCCTCTCTCTCCCTCCCACTCTACCTGAACAAAAAATGGAAAAATGTCCTCGGGTGAGGATTAAAAAACAAACAAACAAACAAACAAACAAACAAAACTTTGGGGGTGTGGAAATATTCTGTATCTGGACTGAGGTGGGGCTTACATGGCTCTACACATTTTTCAAAAACCATCCAAAAGTACATTTAAAACTGAAGCATTTTGTTATATATAAATTGTATTGTACATTTTGTTTTTCAAAAAGCAAATCTCTAAATGCTCAACTAGCCGCCCATTGTCACCTAGGGTGAAAGGTTGTAAAGGCAGCATCTCTTTCACTGAGGGCCTTCCAGGAAAATAAGTACTTGACTCCCAGGCAGTCATGTGGTCTCTTACTGTGCTGGAGAGAACCAGCCCCATGTGAACCCCAAAATGAGGCTTGGACCAGAGGCAGGCATAAAGCCAGCTCTGTGCTCTCCCACCCCACCCTGGGATCCCACTAAGCTTTCTAGGGGAATGAAGGGTACTTCTTCCTCAGAAGAAAGCTCAGTTGGTCTCAGGAGGTGACCACCAGGCTTCCAAACTAGAAGGGAAGAAGGGTGCAAGGGAGAGAAGACACCCTCTATAAATCACTCAGGAGCAATAACCATCACTTACTGATGACTCACTCTGTGCCATTTGGAGTCCTACCTCACTCAATCCTTATCATATACCCCTAAGCATAACTCCTGCTCTGCCAGTTTAGAGAGGAACTTTAGAGTTAGTATATGGCAGAGCTGCACCGAGGCACGTGAGGTCAGAGCCCATACTCTTAACCTCAACGCTGTCTCTACTGGTGAACTAGCTCTGCTCCTGATGCTCATGCCCATCCCTCCTCTCCTCACCCTGCCTGAGGCACACGCAGCTGGGGACAGGCTCAGAGGACAGTGCTCAGAGCAAAGAGGACCCAGGCCCAGGACGCACAGTCCTGTTCTCTCTGCTCCAGCTACATCAAGAGCACCCAAAGTTCAGAATCCTATTAAGTTATTTTCTCAATAATTCAAACACAGAAATACTTTTAAGAGACATGCAGCATTCTGTCTATTCCATGAGCTACAAATATGTAATTTATGGGGAAAATGGGAACTCAGTGTCACATTCAAACTGAGAACTATTTGAAGAAAGGGGGAAACTATCCCATCGTATTGAGTCATGGGGGAAAATAACTACAGTATATCATGGTAGTAAATAGGAATGTAAAAATAGCTTATGTTTGGAAGTTCGCATTCAATGTTAATGTGGCCTTGAGGTTAGTTCAAGTATTTTTCATTAAGCATTTTCATGTTTACAACCTGATAAGTTCCCCCCACATTAAGCCAAGGTCAAATAATTTTAGATGCCAACTTGAAAAAAACCTCAAGATCAATGTGCTCAACTCCCTTTGAAAAGAAGAAACATAAGAGAAGTGTTCTTTGAAAACAAACTATCACGCCACATAGGTCATTAGTCACTAAAGAACAAGATCCTTGAGGGTGGGGCCTGTGGCTGATTTTCCTTTTTGTCTTTTTCTTTTCTTTTAATTTTTATTGACTTTATTGGGTGACATTGGTTAATAAAGTTATGTAGGTTTCGGGTGTAGAATTCTATAATACTTCATCTGTATTGATTTCTCTTTGGCTTGCTCACAGCATGAAGTTCAGTGCAGGGTGAACACCTCATTTTTATTTGCTGGACAACCCCCCCCCCCCCCCCACTACAAGGCAGCAATCTCGTTATTTTGAAAACTGCCCTCCACCACTCCAACATCAAGGTCAAGTGAGAGCAGCCAAACCTGGCATCCTGACCACACAGGTGAGAAAGCCAGCCAAGCTGGGTCTCTCTGAGTCCTTTGCCCGGATTTTTAAAATTTAAACTAAAGAAAGAGAACCCAACTGGGAACGTGTGTTCCAGCTGAGCGGGGACAGTCGGAGAGAAAGAGCCCCGCAGCTTTCCCTCTCTGCAGCCACCAACCTCATGCCCTCCAGGGGTTTGAATACACGTGGGATCACAAATCCCAGACAAGGCACTACTGGTCGACCAGGACCTGTGGTCTACTTTCATTCTTCTCAAATCCAAGCTGAAGTTGCAAAATCAAAGAACTCTCAGCTACCATTTATAAACAATTAGCCCTACTTTCCAGCTGCTATTCTGTCTCAGGTACCCTACCAGGTATTTGACATACTTCATCTCAGTTAATCCTTACAACAACCTTATGGAGGCAGGTGCTATGTATTATTATCCCCATTTTACAGATGAGAAACAAAACCAATCAAAACTGGAAGCTTGATTTGTTGAGATCTTAAGTAACTTGGCCACTTGCACACCATCACTAGCTTTTCCCATTACTGCAGGCAACCTCTGAAGCTGGTGTGGCATGTCTGACCACCAGGGTCAGGTCACTGCTTGGGTCTAGATCTGGACTCATTCCTAACCATTCTCACGTAGGTATGAACTAAACATAAATAAAGAAATCTAAACTAAAAGCCTGGTACAAATGTTCCCACATTTTAAAAAATGGAGCCAGCGAGTGGGAAGCTGAGCAGGTACCTGGAGTCTGCCCAGCAAGCCCACCACACGGGAAGTTTCATCTACACACAGATATTGACCTGCCATGGGCACCAGCTGAGGGTAGAATTAGGAAAGAGCCTCCAATTTCTATGAAGTGCCTTTTAAAAAATATGTTTTCTATTGTGGTAAAATATACATAAAACTTACCATTTTACCCCCTTTGAAGTGTACACTTCAGTGGCATTAAGTACATTCATATTATGCAACGGTCATCACCACCCAGCTCGACCTTTTCGTGTTCCCAACCTGAAATGCTGTCCCCATCAAACATTCCCTCCTCCCCTCCACAGCCCCCCACCCCGGCCCCTGGCAGCCGCCCTTCTACTCTCTGTCTTGATAAATTTGACTAACCTGGGGACCTCATTCAAAGCAGAGTATATGCTTTTAATCTTCAACCCCCTCCAACTATTTCCTGTGACCTACTATTTGCTCAACACTGTGCTAGGCTTTATGGGGGGGAACATATAAAATATGAGATTTGATACCTGATGCTGAGATCATTATAGTTGAGCTATGAAGACAAGGCTAGCTTCTAAGAAACAATATGTATAATACATATGCGTATGATACTGACTTGAAGGACGGGAAATTTAGATGAGAGATCCTTGTAAACTGGTATAGTCTAAGAAGTCTTCATAAAAGAACTGAGAATGAGGTTTGGTTTGGGCAGACAGGAAGATTCTGGATTAACTAAATAACTCACAAATCCAAGCAGGCCAGATCATCCCAAGTAGACCCAGCCAAAACCAATGGGCCACAGCATTCCAATCTTGTTTCTGAGGACAGGATGATAAACACTAGATCTGTGGGTCAGACTACTGCTTGTACCCCCAAGTCACACACACAATGGTTTCCTCTTCTCCTATTGCAAAAGACACAAAAGAAAACCAAAAGTTTTCTATTGTTCTTGTTATTCTTTATGATTATCTTAGAAAATAGCCAAACCAGTTCTTTTGGACAAGTATTTTTTTTTTTCCTTTGGCAAAAGAAGTTAGTAAAAACCTCCAAAGCTTATGTGGAATCTCTGACCACCAGAGTCAGGTCACATCAATCCTGACCACAACTGGGGTCACAGACTCCCGGAGCTGTGGTGAGTGAGATAAGCCTCCAGATGCTCACTCTAACCAGTCATTCTGGTCATTCTGGCCCTTTAAACAAGCAGTATGAAATACTTCCCCCACCCACACCCCTGCCAGCACTTTGAGCAAGTGGCCAATGCAGCAGCACCTGGCAAAGCTGTCTGTGCAGAGTCGCTCCCACATCTCTTCCGATGTCTCCTCCTCCTGGGTCCGCTTTCCCAGCAGAAGCCTCAGCTAGGGGTCCTGGTGGGTGAGTTAGAACAGGAAGGCCTGCAGCGCTGTCACTCATATTGCCTTGTCTTTTCTGTTCTTCCTTTTTTTCACCTTTTCTCTTTCTTCCCTTCAAGATGTGGTAGTTTAAAAAAAAAAAAAATGTGGTCTCTACTTTTAGACATAAATATTCGTTGGTGTCCCACAGCATGTAGGTTTAAATCTGACTGTCCTTTCAACTGTATGCATGTTAACAGAAATTGCAAATGTGGGGCTAAGAGAAGCATCCAGGAAGTGCACTACGGCCTTTAGGGGCATTTTACAATCCTAGGAGAAGGAAAACGTGAAGTGACAGCAAGTGGGCCCTGCCTAGATAACCTGTAAGCCCCCACAACCACAGGCGTACAGCAGCTTATGGTGAACAGAAGCACGAAAACCACAACGAAATAATGGATTCTGAAAGAAGATTGAAATTCTGAGATAAATTCTTATACTATTTCTTCCTAAGAGTTCTGAGAAACAGAAACCAATGTCTAATGCCTCTCTGAGAATCCCATATGAAGGGAGACATTTCTCTCTGCGACCTGTGTTTCCCTCTCCTTCCAGTGGCCTGGAAAAGGTCACCCAGGAGCACTACTCTCTCGAGCTGAATACCACAGGGCTGGTGCCCTTTGCAGAAGCTCTGCCTCCTCGGGGACACCACAGCCAGCAAAAGACATCAGGGAGACTTGACAACTACAAACCACATTGGAGTTACTCACTCTCAATTCCATCATCCATCCATTTTGTTGTTTGTTACTTCCTGCTACAAACTAAACAGGTTGAATCTTTAAAATATCTCAGTTCTGCCCTGGCTGGTTTTTCTCAGTGGTTAGAGCATTGGCCTGCAGACCACAAGTCTTGGGTTTGATTCTGGTCAATGGTACCCACCTCAGTTGCAGTTTGGTCCCTGGCCCTGGTCAGGGTTGAATGGGAGGCAGCCAATCAATGTGTCTCTCTCACAACAATGTTTCTCTCTTTCTCTCCCTCCCACTCTATTTGAAGATAAATGGAAAAATATACTCAAGTAAGGATTAAAAAAATAATAAATCTCAGTTCTAGCCCACAACACTGCAAAAGTCCCCCATACATCCCTGAAGTGGTATATGTAAAATATAAATCTCACTATATAACACTCTTGCTTAAAATTACCTCCAGTATAAACTCCAAGCTCAGCTATGCTTCAAGCAAAAAGACTTGCATTTATATATAATTATAGTGAAGATGTCAAGTTTCAAAGATAAGTTTTTAAAATTTCTAAGTCTCCAAGCCAAAAGTCAACCAACAAAATGAACATGAAGTCTATGTTAACATTTTTCTAACATTATATAACAGAAAATGATAAAGTTTGAAAATGAGGAAGTTGGATCTGAAAAAGCCTAGAGGTAAGGATTAAAAACAGTTCACCAGGTGGGAATAAGTTTTGTTACAATCATAATTATAAGTTTAAAATAAAGACATTATTTAAAGACACAAAATTATTGCCCTGGCCAGTTTGGCTCAGGAGTTACAGCACTGGCCCATAGACCAGAGTCATGGGTTCAATCCCTGGCCCCAGTTGGGGTCAAGGGGGAGGCAACCAATCGATGTGTCTCTCACATCAATGTTTCTCTCTCTCTCTCCCCCCCTCCCTACCACTCTATCTAAAAAAGTCAATAGAAAAATATCCTTGAGTGAGGATTAAAATAATTAATAAAAAATTTTTTTAAAGCCTTGGCCAGTTTGGCTCAGCGGTTAGAATGACAACCCAAGGACCAATGACGCAGGATTTGATTCCAGTCAAGGACACATACCTCGGTTGCGGTTTATCCGAGGCCCTGGTCGGGTTGTGCAGGAGGCAACCAGTCGATGTGTCTCTCGCATCAATGTTTCTCTCATCAACGTAACAAAAGTTATTCTCTCTCTCTCTCCCCATTTTTCTTCCTCCCTCCCACTCTATCTGATGATAAACAGAAAAATATCCTTGGGTGAGGATTAAAAAATAAATAAATAAATAAATAAATAACTGACTGACTGACTGACACACAATTATGTATAGTTTTTTAAAAGCCTCTATTTTAGCATACATTTTTTTCCATAACTCCCTGTTCCCCCAGTCCTGCTTCCTGTGATCACCTCTCAAACTACCTGCATTCTAGTTCTTGACTTAGTCACTATATTGTAGGGAACCCAACCTAAGAAAATAGGTACCAGAGTGGCCCTAGAAAGTAGAAGCTTAGAACCTCTGAACCTCCAAACCTCAGGATGGAATTCTGGACCTGTATTACCTACCCATCAGATGGTAACAAGGATCCCACTTCTAGTTGTAGGTGGAGTGATGATAACCCTTGGTGTGCTGTGACGGTAGGATTAAGATTCTCACCTGTGATGGATTAAGATAAGAAGTAGATGAGAGCAGAAACATCGGTTTATTCGGTAGCTTGACTGATCCTATAAAAATACACAGGTGGCCCTTAAGCAACACGGGTTTGAACTATGTGGGTCCACTTATATGTGGGTTTTTTCAATAAAGATACAGTTGGCAGGTTTTGCACCTGCAGATTCCAACAACTGTGGATGCAGAGGGACAAATGTATGCGTTGTTCTATACCATTTTATGTAAGGGACTTCAACATCATGGATTTGGAAAAAAATCCCCCATGAATACTAAGGGATGACTGTAGTTAAGTTTTGGAGTGTCCAAAGTTATATGAAGGTTTTTGACTGTGTGCTGGTTGGCACCCCTGACCCCCACATTGTTCAAGGCTCAGATGTACTACCAGTAGCAGCTAGCCTGGCAGACTTATAGAATAGCCTATTACAATTTCAGGTAATGCCCTGGCCATTTTTGCTCAGTGGTTAGAGCACTGGCCCATGGACCAAAGGGTCACAAGTTTGATTCCCAGTCAAGGGCACGTACCTGGGTTGCACATTTGATCCCCGGCACCTGCAGGGGTTGTGCAGGAGGCAATCAATCGATTTGTCTCTCTCACATCGATATTTTTTTCTCTCTCTCTCCCCCTCCCTCCTTCTACTCCATCTAAAAAATCAATAGAAAAATATCCTTGAATAGGATTGATAAAAAATAAATAAATAAAATTTCAGCTAAGGTGTCATTTCGGGAATAACATTCTATAGGAAGGGATGCTGTCCTCCAGGGTATATTGTCTCCATTAATCAATCATTTGTGGATCTGTGTCCCCAATAACTAGAATACCTGGATCCTCAACACTGTATAATCTTTTCAAGCAATGCAAAACCCAGATCCATATTGTGTCTATTAATAATGGGTATTAAAAGTTGCTCAGTCACACCCTTCTTCTCCTAATCCTCAGCTCCTTAAACTACCTTCCAACTTTCCTCTATGTCAGCTAAGCTGGAAGCATCTGTTAATCACTGTTCTCATCCCCCCAAAAGAGCAATTCAGAGGCTCTGATGAAGCCCGTACAACAAAAGCACTTTTCCGCCGATCTTCTCCACCCCTTTCCCCATTCCTGCAACTCTGTTCCCAGTGGCCAAGACATGGAAACAACCTCAACGTCCTTCAATAGAGGATTGGGTAAAGATGTGGTACATATGTACAATGAAATGCTACTCAGCCACAAGAAGAGATAAAACATGGATGGACCTTGAGAATATCATGCTAAGTGAAATAAGTCAGACAGAAAAAGCTAAGAACCATGTGATTTCACTCACATGTGGGATTTAAACTGAAACTCACAGATACAACAATACGGTGGTTACTAGAAGGAGGGAGTGGGGGTAATAAAGGGTAAAGGGGGCCAAATATATGGTGATAGAAGATGATTTGACTTTGGATGGTGGATACACAATGCAACATACAGATCATGTATCATAGAAATGTACACTTGAAACCCATATAATCTTATTAACCAATCATCCCAATAAATTTGATTTAAAATATTGAAATAATAAAAAAATTTTTTTTAAAAAATGAAAGAGAAGACATTACTACCAACCTTACAGAAATAAAAAGGAGTATAAAGGAATGCCACACACAACTGTATATTAACACATTAGATAACTTGAAAGAAGTGGATAAATTCCTAGAATGATACAAATTACCAAAACTGATTCAAGAATGAATAGACAATTTAAACAGAATTATGACAAAAAAAGAGACTGAATTAATAATTTTTAAAAAACCTACTTATAAAGAAAAGCCTAGGCCCAGGTGATTTCACTATTAAATTCTACTAAACATTTAAGGAAGAATTAATACTACCAATTCTTCATAAACTCTTCCCCAAAACAGAAGAGTAAGGAATACTTCTCAATTCATTTCATGAAGCCAGTATTACTCTGACACCAAAACCAAACAAAAACATCAGAAGAAAACTACAGACCAAAAGCATATATAGGAGAGTGTGGTCCAAGTACAGAACTCTGTAATTTCATGGTTTTGAGGTTATTTCCATAAATAGTTTAACTGGGTCTTTGGTAAGAATTAGATAGCAGATTTAAAGGCTATAATCTCTGGCTGGAATCTGGAGAGTAAATATTCTGTGCTACCAATAAAATGCATGTCCTCATGCTTTGCCAACTTCCAGGGCATGATAGAAATGAGGTCTTCACATGAAAATTAAATGTTATTTATTTATAGTTAAATGCATGATGAAAGTTAGGGGAACTGCCACTATCAAACCAAAAACTAAATAGTTTTTCTTGCTGAAAATTCAACAAAGAATGTGGGGCAAAGAAAAAGAATTATTAGAGATATGAGATGTATTTTATAATTTGATTTAAATTTTAATTTAAAACAGTAAGAAATAGATTTTGAATTATAAGAAAGCACTGACTCAAACAGAAAAACAGGCTCCTTTTTTTTGGACACACATATTAGGATAATATACATATAATTCCAGGAGTCTGAATCCTACCCCTTTTTAGGTCTTGGTTAAATGCTGCCGCTTTCAAGATATAGCTGTTCTCAATTTGGTGTGATACTTCAATGTTTCCTCTTCCATCATTTTCACTTTCTTCTTGGCGTTGCCTTTGTCTTACTGAAGTGTAGTCTTCTTGAGGGCAGGACTTACCTCTTGAACCTCCAGATTCTTATTCAGGTTTAGGATAGCACTTTGCCCAAAACCAGCACGTACTGAAAACTGTTTAATGAACTAATGAAAAGATCATGTCTCTCATTATATGGTCAGTTTAAAGCCAAATTGATTTTCAAAGTACTCGAAGTAAAAAGTGTCTAGTTAAAAGGATTGCCAGATACAATAAATTTTAAACAATTGTTTATGAATTAAACCATGAATAAGAGATAACTTTAACCTGATTCATTTATACTACTAGCTGCTTTTCTTTCAGATGTCTACAACCATATATATTCTCTTGGGTAAGAAGAAAAATATTAACCTAATTGTTAACCTTCATGTTATGAAATTATCTCTTTGAAGACACCCAACCAGTTTCTTCTTCAGAAACCATTCTTGGTATGGTAAAGCAAAACTCCTTGAATGGACTTTGAAACTTTACTTTCCAGAAAGGATGATGTTAAAAAAAAATTCCCTGAACCAAAGTATGTAAAGTGGATTCTATTATTGTAACCAGTATTCCCTGTTCTTTTAACAGGATTAAACAATCTGTATATTGTCATAAGATTTACAAGGCTTTCTTATGAAAGGAGTATACTGTTAAACCCCATTGATAGCAGGCCTTGTCATATGACTTGCTTTGACCAATAGAATGTGAGCAGAATTGAGGTACCCAGAATGTGAGTTGTTTTAATAACAGGCAACACTGGTGTGTAAGAGCTGATTGTTCCATTTACAGAAACTTGGCAGGACACCTGTCAAACTTTCTGTTGCTTGAAATCGGCCATGGTGGGAATGTTTAAACAGTAAATACTACAGTTCAGGACTTTTCTGCCCTCACATCACAGTCTGTGCCAGCACACAGTGAGTGAGTCCCCAAAAAGCTGATTTTTCAACCTGGAGCCTGGAATTAAGGAAACTGGTGGGGTAGAGCCAAAGCTGCCAGCAGCTTAAAAAATGAATCTTCGTTGTCAGTCACTGAACATAGTGTATCAAAAGCTGACTGGCACACAATGAGCCCTACCTACTCCACCGGTGCAGACCTTGGTTGGGGGCTTTCTTCCAACCACCTGTGCCACCACACACCTGGAGCCTGAAAGGATAAAAGCTGCATTCAGAGCCAACAGGAATCCAGGTCTTGGAAGGTGAATGGAAAGGTACAGAACAAAAATTACATTTTTTTTTTTAATCCCTAAACTATTGTGTCATTTCTAAACCTTGGCAAACGTGAGTCTTTCACTCGTGGCCCTGGGTGGTTTGGAGCGACTCCAGTCCTTCGACTGCGCTCACCCGGGCGGGACGGGCGCTGTGTCTTTAAGGGGCCGAGCGGAGGTTCCCGCACGACAAGATGTCCGCGAGGATCCCGGGCCAGCGGCGCGCTCCCGGCCGGCCTCCCGCGCCCCGGACGGCGGTGAGTGGGCCTCCGGTGCAGAGTCCGCGGGCTGCGCTCCGAGGCGGGTCGCGGGGGAGGGCGGGGTGGCCAAGCGGCGGGGGCAGCGGCCTGGAAGCGCAGGTGAGCCGGGCAAGCCCGCAGCCCGATCGTCGCCGCCCGCCCTCCGCTCTGGTCCTTGTCCTTTCTGGAAGAGATGCCTTTGGCCCCGGGTTCTGCCTCACAGCACCATTTCGTTTCGTCCAGGGCCTCCTTTTCCTCCTCTACAGTATCCCTCCAAAAAGTTAACTCGGGAATACTAAAAATCATCTGCTGTCCCTTTATTAAAATCGCCTTATTGCAGTCAGACTTTAACAGTGTGCAAGTGGTGGGGTGCCCTCTCCCTCGTGGAGATTTTCCTCTTGTTTCACAATGTGGGGAGGAGAAACCCAGTGCAAGCCAGAAGCTCAAACCAGAAGCCCCACCACCCTCCCGCCCCCACCACCTCCACCTCCACGGTACTCAAACAAAAGAAGTTTCTGATCCTTTCGAGTGTACAGGACCAATTCCCTGTCACCACTTACACTAACCGTATGGCTGAAGCTTACCAAGTTAACTCATTTTTCCATGAAAGAAAAACTAAGTACCTGCTACCTTTTGAATTTCCAATTAGTCCAGACTACAAAGACTGGGTGTTTAAGAGAAACTGTTGCAGAAATAGCTTAATAAATTGACCTCATTAGGGTAATTATTTTCTGCACTTTTCATTAATGTTATCTGTCCATCCTTTTTGGCCAAAAACAGATTGCGGCAACCCACAATAAAAAGTATTCAATGATCTGCAAAAAGGCCAAGAGCCAAAACCAGGTAATTCTCAATTTCAAAATCTTGGTGTTACAAAGGCCTTCAATGTGCAGATTAAAATCCCTCTAATTCATATTAAATTATGCATTT